TTTGGCGGCGAAGCGCACTGATGCTCTGGCTTCTTTGAAGTCCAGGCATCATTTTGATGCCTCACCCGGCCCACCTCTTCATCTAAAGGTGGTCACATCTCCGACCGCGGCCATCTTCTTGGAGACTGCGCTGACCGACCCCCCATCGAAGAGGTAGCGTTGCACCGCAGAGGAGGACCACCTTCCCGCTCGCTTCACCAACTCAATGTCGGCAGTCGACTGGAACAAAGCTGACGCCTCACCAATCCTCAAAGAGTGGGACATGAACCTCCCTGGCGGCAAGCCCACTCCAACCGCTGCCTCCTGGAGGAAGTGCTGGATCTCGATCCTCTTGATGACCTGGCCATTGCTCCATCTGAACAGCGGCTTGGTGCTCTCGGCATGGCCTGGCAAAAACCGCATCGTCCAGACTTGCCTCATACGGTCCAGTGCTTCGACTGGGCAAAGGTGCTTCCTCCCCGTGGCCTGCAGCGTCTTGGTGTCCCCGAAGGCCAGCTGGTCATTCTTGGTCTTCCGGAAGAAGAGGGAAATCTCGGTCGCCTCCCCCACCGGTTTCGCCACTCCTTGGTGAGACAGGCGGATGTCACAGCCCCTCGTGATCATGCTCTCGTCCACTCCGTTCGATTCCCCGAACTCCTTGGCCCTCAGCATGAAGAACCGCGCCAGCTCCAAGGCCGCCACGACCATCACTGCCTCCGCGTACGGAATTGAATGCCGGTCATTCACTAGCGGGTCGACCAGATTCTCGCCCAACCATACTAACATCTCAGGCGTGACCCCCAAGCGCCGTGGCTTCCTGGTAGTCGATCTCCGATCCAAGGCGTTGACGAGGATCCACACCCGATGCATTCCATCCAAGGGATCGGTCCTGCCACTCCTTTTGTGCACCATCTTCATCGCGAAGATGTGTTGACGGATGGTATTGGGCGAGGCGCCCAGCCATCCCAGGTAACCCACGTAGGCCAGCACCCGGTTCTCGTTCTCAATCGGGTCCACATTGCGGTTGAGGAACTCATCTGGCCAGCCCTGTCTTCTAGCCCAAGCGCACCACTTCATCCACGCTCCGCCATAGGCCTTCTCCGTCGCGGCACTCTTGTCCCCAGTCATGTTCTCCTCCAGCCATTCATCGACCCTTTCACGAACATCACCGCAAAACGGGGCGAGACTCTTGGTGAGGTGAACGGCCTGGGCTCTCACCTTCTCGGCAACTTTGAGCGGGTCGGTCTTGGCTTTGGTCCGTCCGCCAGCATAGGAACCCTTGATCTCGTTGGCAAACTCCAGGGTGTAGGCATCGTCCTCCTCTTCCTCGTCCATGCATTGAGCCCACCACCACGCCTCCGACCACCTCCACAGCCTCCTCAGCGGTGGCCCCGTGCCGCCACCAGCCCTGGTGGTGTCGGCCTCATAGGACGGCGGGCTCCGCCTCAACTCTCCTCTCTTCCACCTTCTGAGCCACAGCAGGATCTGGGCCATGGCCTCCGCTCCGGTGGCGTCCGGCATCATCCCGGCCTTACCCGGGTTCAGTTCCCCAGCTTCACGGGCGATCAGCTCACAGAGGATTTGGCCTCCCATGGTCACCAGGTTCGCGGCAGTTTGAATTTTCGTGGCCCGGACCCCTTCGATCGCCGCAACCTCGGCAGGGATGTTGGCTGGTAGGTCTCGAAGCTGACGCCCTTGTAGAACCCATAGTTCCTCCGGGTCAAGACGACGAACATGGCCTCCAGGTCCTCGGCGATTGTAGACATAGTAGCCCTGTAAACTGCTCCCGTCGTCTGACAACAAGGGCCACCGACCAGGGCCTCCAATCCCATGGATCACCTCACGTTCTTCGCCCCACCAGACATGACCTGCTGGTTGAGGTAGCATTCGATCTCTCGGGATGCCGCTCTCCAGCTCCAAACGCAGCGGCTTGGTCCAACACAGTTCATGGTGCTCCTTTGGTTTCAGCAGTGAACTCATTGGTGCCGGCCCCATAGCTCTGACCAGAAACTCCTCCCATGCCTCAGGTAGAGCACCATGTGGGTTCACCACCAAGCACCGCCTTCTCCTCGTCAACGCCTCCCCATTCTCGGTGGTGATGAAGTCGACGATCCCATAGCCCCATCCTCGGCTCTCACAGTGTCGCTGCCCTCGCTCCCAATCGACCTTCCCAGGTCCTTCGACCAGCCCCAAACGAGCTCCTTCGTGTTGAAGGTTGCGGAGGTACTGCTCCATGTGCTTCCCTTTGTAGTCCACTCCAAGCGTGGCGCACAAGAGCACCGGCCGGTCACCAACGTCCTCGATGGCCGCTCCTAGGGCTCCTCCCAGGGCTTCAAAATCTTTCAGCCACCTTCCCGAGGGGGTCCACTCCTTGGCGAAGGCTTTCCACGGAATCTCGAGCTCCCTTTGGATCTGTTTTGACACCCTTCTCTCACGGAGCTGAAGTTGCAGTGCACGATCACCTTCTTTCTCTGGGCCCCAAAGGAAGCATGCCCCATATCGGGCCGAGTCCTCCAGAGCGCCGTGGATCGCCGCAGAGATGTCCAGCACCTGAAGGCCCTTCTCCTTCACGAAGCCCTCGAATTCCTCCTGGGTGCACCGCGTGATGAAGTCCGCGTGGACGTTGTGATAGGTCCGCCACCATCCGCTCACGACCGTGAAGTTGTACTTCATCTCCGCCAGGTTGAGGGCCCTGATGAGGATTCTTCCCCCTCTGGTGTTGCTCTTCCGGGATTGTAGCCAATTCTTGACGATGGTGTTGTCCCGCCATAGGCCACTACTGCCCCTTTCCACTGGTCCCCTGCTGCACATGCGAAGGCAACGAAAGACAGCATCTCACCCAGGTGAATCACGAGGTCGGTCTCCTGGTCCCCAATCTCATGGTCTGACAGAGCCCGAGCAGCCCACGCTTTCAAGGTCCCGGTGGGAAGGCGCGTCACCTGTCTGTTGGTCCAATCGATGGCTCCCACCATGGTAGGCGTAGCGTCGGATGACACCCAAATGACCTTCTCCCACTCTCCAGGCAAGCTCAATCTCTCCATAGTGGGAAGCATAGATCTCAGGCCGGTGGCAAAGGATTCCCATCGATCCGTCCGCACACTCAGCCAGCGGCAGACCTCAAAAAGCTCCCATAGATCCTCCCATGCCCGGTCTGCCTCCCAGGCCTGGCTGCCTTCCCCACGTAGTCGGGGATTCACCTTCTGATGCCCATCACGGCCCGCAAGAAACTTGTCCGCCGCCTTGAGCTCGTTCACCAGCCCCTTCACGATGGCTGCCCATCCGGTCAAGATGCCTCTGAACTGTTGTAGCTGCTTCAGGGTGACCTCCTTGGAGCCGTAGTCAAAGCAGCTATCAGCTAGAAGGACCGCCCCTTTCTGAATGCGTCGCTCTGGAAGCGTAGCAGTCTCGCCCTCCGTGCACATGATCACCCCCCAGACCGTTTGTGCGGTCTTGAAGGCTCCTTCCACCTTGTCCTTCTCCTCATTCACCGCCTTGTTCCCCAGGAGCGTCCTGATGCCGTGCTCAAACACCTCCGCGCTCACCCACGGCCTCAGTCCCACCCAGGGCTCCACCAACACTCCGTCGTCGACCAGGACCTTGCAATCGAAACCATGGCCCATGTCTCTCCGTGGAACCGACGGGCAGTGAGCTCGATGGAATTCCTCCGTGCTACGCCCCCATACAGTCCATTCTCCTGGGCTACCACTGAACCCGAAGCTGGAGACCAAGTAGACCACCGTGATGTCCCCGCCCGGAATGCCCTCCAAGTGAATCTCTTCGTCCGTGGCGTTCGGAAAGGCCTTCCTCGGGTTCCACGGCAGCTCCCCGGCGAACAACTCTACATCCTCGGGGCGACCCACAGAAGCCTAAAAGCCCCAGAAATGTCCTTCTTGGACAGGAGGACCGGCAAGCCCGGGCATCGACCCTTAGCCCATAGGATGCGCTTGGCAATCTGTGAGTGGGTAGGTTGAAGGGCCGGCGGGTGAAGGAACTTGTTCGTCCCATGGTTGATGGTCCTTTGGTCGTGGACCACTCTCACCTCCTCCGACACAGAGCGATCTGGCTTGAGCTTCTGCACCGCCTCAAAAGGTGAGGCCATCGTCCCGCTCAGCTGAGGCATCATGGCACTGACTACCAACACCCTCTGCTTTCCCACATCCTTAGCGACCTGGGCAAAGACCTTGTCAACGTGGCGTCGTGCATTGGGGTGAAGCTTCGCAAAGGCTCTGGTCCGAAGCCCTTGGAACCTGGCCGCCATGCCATATCGTCGAACATCCCGAAGATATTCCAGGAGGTGGGGGTGTAACACCCGGTCCAGCCCCGGGTCATCCACCTGGGCTAGGTTCATCATTCCGGCCTTCTCCCTTACCTCCCAGAGGCTTTCAGCAGCTTGGCGCACTCCACCCGCGACCTCAACCAGCTTGTTGCCCGCCCGTAGCACGGCCGCCCAACCCATAGGAGTGTTGTCAAAGTCCTGCTCAATCGCCTTGACATACTCCTCCGCTGCCTGCCGTGCTGCTGTAGTCGGTGCTTGGTAGGCCGAACCTGGGCCATCACGTGCCTCGCTCCCGGCGTAGGCCGTCGGGCCTGACTCCACTTGGACACTCACCTCGGGCTCCGGTCCGTCATCTTCTCCCGGGTCGGGTCCCTCATCTTCGTCGGCGCCCCACTCCCAGTCGTCCTCACACGGGATCGCCTCGTCGTCGACAACCGGCATCTCCTGGCTGGTGAAGACGGTCACGCCCGTCCACTTGCCATAGCCTGGATCAGCCCCTCCGGCAGCCCGCCAATCATCCGTGATGATAACCTGGTTCGCCCCTTCTCGCAGGTGGGTGACCCTCTCGTTGGTTAGGTGGGCAAGCGGTGTAGGAAGACCAATCTCCGACGGGACGTACAGGGTCGTCCGGGGTTCATCATGAACTCTCCACATTGCCTGCGGGCAGGCGAGCCCCAGTGGTCGCCCGGTCCGGTTGGGCTGGTGCGGTGAAAGTCCACACTGGTGGAGGGGCCCATTGGATCCGCCCAGACTCCCTGCAGGGTCTCCCCTTCTCCTTGGTCAGGATCTCCTGGAGCTGGCCCGGCGCCTCGAGAGGAGGTGCCTTTGCCCTTTCCTTTCTCACATGCCAAGCGATATCGCTCCGCCCGCGACAGGCCATACGGGTATTCCACCCTGGTGGACTTCCTCCCGCCTCCCTCGACATCTGAGTTGGGCTCCGAAGTGGATGAGGACGAACTTCCTCCTCCAGCGAAGCTGAGCCAGCCGCCCTTGCCCTTTCCCCCGCCTGGTCTGGAACTCCCTCGCGGGGATCTTTCTCGGGCTCCAGCTGGAGCGGATGAGCTTCTCATTGGTCTCCACGGCATAGGGATCACCCGGTCCTTTGCTGAGATCACGGCCTTTGGTTGCCGTATCGGATTGGGAACCCCCCCTTCAGGGAACCCGAGCACCTCCAGTAACCCGTCTCCGTGGCGGCTCGCCGAGTGGTTCCCGAAGCCCATCGATTCCAACAAGCCATCCCCTTTGCCATCTCCATCGGGTTGATCGTTTCGTTGAACGCCTCCACCATCTCCGTCATGTCCTCCGTCATCGTCTCCGGGTAGGTCTCCAGGTAGGTCATCCTCACCGTCTCCGCCAGCCTCTTCACGGTCACCAGGTAGTAGGGCACCTCCATCTTCTCCATCGTCTCCGCCTCGATCCCGAAGACCGCCTGCTCGATGACCATCTTGTGGCGTCAAAGCCAGACCCCCCCCCAACGAAGCTTGGAGCACCGCCACCACGACTGACACAAAGTTCTGGGCGTACACCCCGGCTTCAGTACAGCGAGTGACGGTTTGGCCGTCGCGACAACCCTTCAGCCCGATGTGCCGGTGCGAGGTTGACAGGCCCGGACAGACTCGTCGAAGCGCTCGCCGTAACGGTGGATGCAGTGGGAAGACCACCCTGGTCTTGTGCACATAGAAATGATCTGGCTCATCAGGGGGACCAAGACCAAAGGCGCACATGGGCAGGTCAACGTACTCTACGTCCGGCCGGTTGAGGATGCGCTTCCAGCACGGCAGGTCCCATTGCTTGGGGTACCGTCCACTGACCCCACTGGACTCGACGAGAGGGAAGGCACCAGAATCCAACGAAGCCTCGAAGAGCTCAGCAGCGTGCGCACTCAAAATGTTGCCCATTGCCTCAGTCGCTGCTAACGGTCCCTGTCCAGTGCCTTCGGGACACTCGAAGGTGCGAGTCCCACCATTCTTCTGCTGCCAGTCACAGTAGCTCGTGCATGGGGCTGCAATCCAATGCACATTGGAAGGCCCGGTACGCACCTCTGCCAGAAATTTGTCATGGACATCCTTTCGGCTCAAGTCAAAGTGTGCCCTGTAGCCCTGCTTGTCATGTGGATGCTCGTAGACCTCGACCGGCTCCATGCTCGGGCTCGTCCTGCTCCACTCCGCAGAGATGCCACCTTTCCCGGCAAAGAACTCCCTTAGCACCAGCTGCCCCGGTTCATGTGGCTGGCCTGCACTCCGAACCGCCCGAATCACATTGTGGTCATGGTGGATGTCCATGGTGCCTCCAGCGGTGGCGGCCGTGTAGGACAAGCAGCTATGCCTTGGTGCGTTGAGCGACTCCCCAGCTTTGCGGCCTGCTTTGCACAACCTGCAGAAAATCTTGCCTGGTGCGGTGGAAGGTTGATCATGACGAGCATGCCAAAAGAACGTAAACCCCATCGCAGGTGTGGTCTGGGGGTCCTCTCGGGCCAGGAAGCGCTCCAGGTCATAGCCGTCCGGCGGTTCCAAAAGGACCATGTGCCCCTTCCAAATCAGTGCGAAGGTCGTCCAACCCCCATCTATCCAGTTGGACCCAATGATGCACTCCACGACCAAGCCCCCTCGGTAGTCCGCCCTAAAAACCACCAATCGGCAGTCCGCAAGGGCTTCCAAAGGGAAGACCGCCAACGAGCGAAAGTCCTTCTCGTGGTGAGCTGTAGTGAGGTCATGGATGTAGGTCCTGACTTCGTGTTCCACAGCTGCGACCATCTCCTCCGCCTCGCCGATGGTGTTGGCCGCGTCCACTGCTAGCCGAGTCTGCTCCAGCCTCAGGCTTTGTGCTCTGGTCTGAACCTGCTCCACTGACGGCCGTCGGCTCTTCTCCTTCCACTCAACCATAGCCGCAATGGTGATGGTCACGCACTGCCGCCGCTCAATGGACACCTCTGGTAGGTGAAGAAGTGCCGCCAGGTCCTCCGTCATCATGACGTCCTCCTGATAGTCCCACAGCCGCCAAGTGGTGCCGTCGAGCTCGACGCTTCCTTGCCCTGGTTGCCCCTCTGCCCACAGAGTGTCTCGAACCACCAGTCGAGCTGAGCCTGCTTTAGTTCCTTCCCGTTGCTCCAATAGTTCAGCCGCTTCCCGTGCAAGCTCACCCATCCCGTAGGTCGCCATTTCCTGAAGAAGTGAAGAGAGTTCGACTCCGGGTTCCCTGGCAACCCTAGCGGCGGCCCATGCATACAAGTCGTCAGTGGCTCCCTCCAGTGCCTGGAGAGCGGAGGACTTGCCTAGCTCCTTGGCTTTCTGGACCAGGTGCTTTGCCTCCTGCGGTGCCGAAGTCCCATCCCGACCACGATGAGGTGGAAGATCACGATGAACATCTCGATGCCATGCATAGTCCGGCCCTTGAATCACATCCTTGAGGTCCTCGCCCTTGGTGTAGTCGACTTCGAACTCCTCGGGGACGTCCCAAAATCGCACCTTTGGCCCTTCTCCTCCAGCTCGGCCATCTTCCGTTACCTCCTGCTCTCCAGATTCTGTCCCGACAGTTGCAGGGGTGCTCCCAGCCTTCGCTCGCTTCTTTCCGTCCTGGATCTTGTCAGTCTTCTCGACTCGCATCTTGGACCGGATGTCTTTGATCTTGGTGGTCACGGTATCCGGGCTCTCGAGCTTCATCCGCTTCAGTCCACCTCTTTTGAGGAGTTGCATTTGCACACACGGGTCCAGATTCTCGAAAGAGCCGCGAAGTCCTTCATGGGAGCGCTGACAACCTGTCGTCTGGCAGCCAATGTGGCACAGGTTTCCCCAGCAGAGCAACTTGCCGTGGCGGTCCAAAGGGGCCCGATCTTTGGCCATTCCGACCTCCTCCGGAGTCAGCTTGGGCCCCCACAACGACTTGAGAGTGGGTTTGGACTGCGAACTCAAGCTTCCTGCACTCTCCCCTGCTCCTCCAGCTGGTGCTGCCGGGTTGCGATCCTTCCGGGCACCGCCCTGCCAAGTGAGATTCCATAAGAGGCGGTCTTGCTTCCTCTCGATCCTTGGGAGGACCTCGGTCTGGAACCATGAGTCGGGCTTCTCGATGTCGAAGGTCGTGGGCATCACCAGCCATGCCTGTCCATCTGGTCCGGGAAGTAGCGCATGGAACTTGAGCTCGGTGAGGCTGATCGTTTCCCTACCAATCTCCTTCTTGAGGCTCCGAAGCACGTCCTTGAGCTCCTCCAGAAATCGCCAGTGAATCTCCTCCCAGATGTCGATGACTATGGCCAGCGGCCACCTGTGAGGATGGGACAGATGCCACTCCGACAAGAGGTTGAGGGCGTTGTTCCGAACGGCTCTCCATTCCTCCCCATAAACCAGGCACCACACATCTGTCTGGCGTCGTACTCGGGCGGTCCACTCATCGAACCTGGACGGAGGAGGAGGTCTTTGGTCGGTGTTCTTCATCACCTTGGCCTCAGAAGCAAACTGGTCGAGCTCAGCGTCCGTGTAGGAAAGGAAGTCCGCGGCGCTCAGGCCATACTTCTCCTGAATGCCCCAGTATGGCCCTGCAATTCCAACTGCCAGCCGTGTTGACATCCGTTGGCGGAAGCCTGCTGCTCGAAGCTTGGTCGAGGCTCCTATCTGAGCGGACAGCAACGAGTTTGCTAGTGCCTGACCGTGCTCTTCCGCACCAACACGCACTCGATACTGGCCACACGCCCGAAGCAAGAAGACCAGTTCTTCTGATTGTTTGTTGAGCCCCCGGATTGTACCGGGGACCTGACCTCCTGCTCCTTCGGTTTGTTGACGAACCAAAGAAGCCAATTCTGCTGTTTGATGCTGGATTGCTTTGGCGATTTGGACAACGGGTTCTGCAGTGGTTCCACTGTCGGTCCTGGCTCCTGCCCTGGTGTCAGGGCGATAGATCCCGGGGGGTGCCACTCGTAGCCCGTCACCTCGCTTCTCTTCCACCTGAGGCATCTGCTGACCTCGTTCTGTCAGGGGGGGGTGCAGGCTCAGACGTAGGTCTCGTCCTGGATGCCGAGGTCCTCAAAGACGAAGCTAAAGGCAGAGATGTAGCTCTATCCCCATCCTTTTCCGGAGTATCCCCAGGAGACGCGGCTTGACTGCCACCTTCCACCATACTCCAGTCGCTACATCCCTCCCCTTCTCCATGAGGCCTTCCCAACTTAGCCAGCTCCTTCCGCCACGTGGTCAAGAAACGTGACAGCCCTCTCTGCCCTTGCGCCTGCTCATTCTCCGCCTCCCCAACCAGTTGTCGAAGAAGATCACCGGGTAGTAGCAGGCGGTCAGCTCCCAGCTTTTTGCGTGCTTGGTCTTCACGGAGTCCATCCGCCTTTCCGGCCGCAAAGATCTCAAAGAACTCTTCCAGCAAGCTGCCGGCGCCTTCTGAACCTGGCGACTCGAGCATCCCCATGCGGGATAGATTTCGACTGATGCTTGATCCTTTCGGAGTATGTCCAGGCGAGCGTGTTGTTCCCCTCCGACGTGGCGTTCTCTCTTTGATCTCGGGCTCCTCACATTCACGAGCCCTTCCCAACAGCTTTCTCGCACGACCATGCCTATCCTCGTCACCGTGCGCCTCCTCGGTGTCGACCCCGTTCTCCTCATCATCGTTCTCCCCCTCGTCGATGTCCTCCACCGCTCGTGTACGTGACCTCGATCTGGATCGGCGCGCTGAGGTAGAAGAGGGCCTCGTCGGTGTCAGGCTTGAAGGTTCATGTTCTGAACACCACACCACACCATGCTGCAGCTTGTTCCCAAACCTTTTGCAAAAGGTCACACTGCACTTGTCGGGATACCGCCGGGTCAGGTATTGGGTAGCATGATCCCCGCACAATGCAACAGCCCCGCACTGAGTGGGGACATCATCCTGGAGGAGTTGCCCAAAATGTTGAGCACGCACACTGCACGGCCGATTGGCCAGGCACTGCATAGTTCCATCGGGCCCCGCCATGTGACCAGGCTGCCACAGCAAATCAGGTGCTCCTCCTCTTGCTCCGACTCGGAACCCAACTCCCGAAGGCGATGCATCAACTGTGAGGTGCCTTCAGTCAATGGGGACCCTTTCAACCAGGCCCAGAAGTCGTGGGTCACCTTGCGCGCACCCTCACGAGCTTGGGCCATCTGGAATCTTTCCGGGTCATTCTTTCGAACTAACCCGTACATGACGAAGTGCTCCCCACCCTCTTCGGTGCAGGCCTCATTTCGGCATAAGTGCACCTTCTCGACGTCCCGCAGCCGCCTCACCAAAGCCGGAGATCCACGGATCGTGTTGCACTCCACAGGGACATAGAGGCCGTGGGTCTTGATGGACTGGGAGTCCATGCCGATGGCGAAGACAGCAGCATCTTCCCCTCTCTTCACCACCATGTGCTTGGGCTGCTCACCGGACCTCTTGAATGCTCGAAGCTGGGAGGTTTCAGGTGTCCGTCCAGTGGCAGGGCCCAAGAACTCTGCTTCAGAGGCTTCTGGAGAGCCTCCTGTAACTCTTTGGAACCAGAATGCAAAGGCCCCTACTCCTCGTAGGACTTTGCGAAGTAGCCATGCCATCGCCATGCATGCCCCGATCAGGAGCGACACAATGGGGTAGCACACAGCCCACACATAGTGAGCGACCAAGCAGAGCCCCAGCACCACCAGAACCTGGAGGAGCCGGCGGCATCCGGTCCGAGCCTTAGTCCAAGCGCTGCCGAAGAGTGCCCACCCGATCATGCCGAAGAGGGTGTCCACGACCATCCACAGCGCCACGTCCCAGCTTCCCCAGGTCGAGGCTCCTTCCAACTCCCGACCCCAGCTCGCCAGGCCGGCAAGCCACTCTTCCGTGGCATTGAGCCTTCGCTCCGCACCCGGGAGCCACTCCCGAAGATGCTGCCGCCAACCAGCCTGCTCCTCCAGGGGCTCCGCCTCCGGTGGCCCCTCCGGGCCAGCCCACCAACCATGGCTGACGGCTGTGGTCGAGATGACCACCAGCCTGAGCCACCACATGTGGCCGTGCCGACCCAAAAGGCTCAGAAACCTTCGGGCCAAAAGGACTTGGTCGTGCAAGACCTTCACAAAAGTAACGGTTATTTCTAACCTCCAAGATATTTTAGATGCCCAAAGGCCCTAAGGCTCCTTCCATGAAGCTG